CGTCGGCCTCCGAGCCGCCTTTTTCACTCCCGGAGGCCTCTCTGTGCTCACTGTCAGAGTCACTCTCGCTGTCTTGAAAGGTTTCCAGCGCTTCCTCGTCAGAATGGGCGCCGAGGCACGTAAACCTCCACAGGGGTAAGTTTTTTATGTAATCCGTTGGTATCAGAGGGTGAAGCCAGAGATCGGGGAAGGCCAACCGCTCCAAGAACAAATCCGGGTCTTCATCCCAATCCGAGTCAAAAGGGAAGTGTTGGAAAGAAGCGATGGGATGAAACAAGTAGCTGGTGTACCAGTCCCACAGGCTCGACAGCCACTCCAGATTATTGGCGTTTACTTCATCGGCGTTGTTATTGCGTCGTCTTTTCTTCTCAAAGTAATCAATGAGTAAACCGTGACCGAGGTACGTGCTGAGGAAGAGGGCTGGATGTGAAGAGTAGAACATCCAGTCGGCCCTCACCCAAGAAGCCAAAGTAGTTGTGTTCGAGTACCTGAAGAGTTTTAAACTGTACTCGTAAAAGCTGTCTAAATAGGGTAGCTGCAAAAACCCTAACACGGGGAGCCAGGAAATAATTAATAGCGAATTATACGTCCCTAAAGTGCTTATAAGGACCACAAAACGCTTTATAGTAGCGCCTTGTGTAATAAACAGGTCCATCCACGCCATCAGATTAACCAAAACCAAGCTTAAAACAAATAAATCGTTAACTTCTGGCTGTAACGAGCGCAGAAAGGAATCCATGGCGCGCAGCGAAATAAATTCACCGGTGTGATTTCCATACCTGTAAATCCCCTCGGGAGTCCTAAGTATGTACGACGGCGTCTTGTAGACACCGATCTCTGCCATGTAACTTTTGTTGTCCCAGTTCTCCACGTTCACAAAAATAAACTCCACCCTCCCTGTAAACTTGACGCTCAGGGCGGAGAAGAAGGCGGGAGGCTGGTCGAGGCTGGCAAACAGGTAGATCTTCACGCGGTACTGGTCGCTTCTGTTCCACTCTTCTCTTAGATGGTCAGAGTTGTAGATGGTTTTGATCCGAGAAGCAGCGTGGGCTGTGATCCACTTGAAAATGTGCTCCACTTCGATTCTGCGCCCGCTGTACTCCTTAAGCATTACTTTGCCCTTGGAGGTGCTGGTTTGGGGAACTGACATAATGAGGGTGGATTTCAGCCAACCTCTCCTCCTGCAGTATCTACAAAGAAAATGGCAGGTTAGATTACACAGTTTCATAACCTTGGAGCTGCAGTCCTTAAATTTCTGTTATGAGCCCCAAAATGAGACACGGGAATCTTTACATGTAACTAGGAAATACGGGCACCCAATATTCTCTGCCAAAGCCTGTTTATTATTACAACATATTTGTTACCTCTCTCACCACAATGTTGTAAAGAGATATGTATTCATAAAGCAGGAAGAGGAACACAGTTAATTTTCCTGGGTCATTATAGTAAGAAGGCCGTGCAGTCATTCACACTTGGTAGCTGCGTTTGAAAAATACACAAGCTGACTCTTCACTATAAAACTTGAGTATTAGAAACTATTCTTCCTTGGCCTTCCAGCTGAGAAGGCAACTGCAGTGCAACTCATCATCCCACAGCCTTCCCCAGCCTGCAGGTAACTTCCCCAGCACCTCCTCCCATCCTAGTTTTGCCAAGAGCAGCAGGGTGACGTTAGCAGACACTGGTCTGTTTGCAGTTCCTAAAAGAAGAGGCTCTTCGAGGCTGAACCCTGAGTTGGTCCAGGCCTGAGTAACTGAGATCAGCCTGATGACTATGAAGATCCTTTCTCTCATGCATCTTCCCTACCAGCTTCACTATGCCACCTGACTTATCCAAGTTCTCCTTTTAAGAAATAAATGTCTGGCAAATTTGAACAATCAAAACGTGACACAGCCGACAGACACGAAAACTGTCTCTGAGAAGCCTGCACATTGAAATGGGAGCCACAAGCCTCACTCAGCAGCCACCTTACCTACATCCTCTCTGGTTTTGATCTGTCAATGTATATTTAGACAATGACACCTCCCCATCTCAGGAATTTGAATGTAACATTTTTAGACAGAGCCATAAGATATTATCCTACTAATAAAGGTGTCCTGCTTACTGTAGTGTGCACTGTTCTTCTGAAGTTCAGCTGCAGCCTGATGAACACTACTCAGAGTAGCTTGTTTAATCAACAAAACATTTCTTTCTTAGGAAAAAAAGAATTAATTTAAAACACAGTATTTGATCACAATATGAAGATTAGTTAGAAGCTCTGCAAAGAGATACATGGCCAAATTTTTAAGATGTTCAAATGCCAGTGTTTTGATTACACCAGATTATTTTGCATAAGCACTGCAAAGTCTAAGAATTTTCTCATATGATTAACTTTGAGATTTCTGTAAACATTTAAGACTTCAGCTGTGTAAGACATGCATACCCATACATGTCCACTTTTAGGACATGGTTTAGTGGTCATGGTGGTGTTGGGTTGATGGTTGAACCTGATGATCTTGAAGGTCTTTTCCAACCTTTATGATTCCATGCCACCGGATTCTAGACAAAGTTCCCTGTCATGTGAACCAAATGTTTCCAAAAAAAGTTGGAAATGTTCAATATGTTCAAAAAAATTCTTTTCACAGCAGCACAGAATTATTAACAGCTTCCTTAGCTCTGTTCTTCTTCCTTGTTTGGAATCATGGGCAAACCACAGTGACTCCTGCATAGTGCACTGCATGTTGTCCAAGGGTGTGGGTAAGTTTATACACAAACACACATCTGTGAGGGAACAGGATTTGTCAGTGACCCTGAGAAGCAGGCACTGCTGGCAAGGTTCATGGTAACCCCTGCCTCTCCTTTCCAGATGGCAACAGAACAACTCCACAACTGATACAGTTCTCTTACATGGGCTATGTACATACTGAGCTTTGTCCTAAGCCAGCACCGTTCTTCTCCCTGAATGCCTGGACTGAAAGGCCAAACTCTTCCAGTTATTGCTGTATCACACTCTACACTGTCAGAGTTCTGACTTTGTCATGTGATGCTTTAGGAAGCTGCAGATCTATGTTTATGATGCTGATAAATAATGTAATGGAGAATTCCGAACACTTAGCAGAGATAAAAACATTAATAAAGCCACCTTCTGTCACAGCTGCTTTTACAACACAGCAAGCCTTGCTGCCAGAACACAGCTGAGCCTTAGAATATTCTTGAGATTTAGATAATCCTTTAAAAATATACCTGGGGTCACTGGAACAATTAAAAGTGCCAGTACGTATGCCAAATCTTGATACTTTCTTCACCATTTTCTCCCAGTGAACTTTCCCCACCAGTGGGCTCCTGTCGTTTGCTATGACCTATTGCCAAAAGGAAACAGTAATTTAGTACCACAGTAAGTTTTATCCCTGAAATAAAGAGCAAGTTTCATAAAACCAGAGATCCAGTCACCCTTTATACTGCTTTCCCCTTCTCTTAGAACACAGCATATGTTATACAACTTGGAATCACACTAAATGTCATTGGAGAGTGAAGCTCTAAGGCAGACATAGAGTTTCTGCAGGAAAACTGCATCATAGCTTTGAGTTAAGAGACTAAGATCAGTGACAGTTAACAAAAACTTTGGGAAAATAACAAAACTACCATTAACCGGTTCATAGTAGGGGAGAAATGTGCAGCAGATTCTACTTCTTTGCAGTAAAAGACTCTTACTTTATTAAAATTCTCCACAAAAACTTAGAGCATACCAAAGAATTGTTGTCTCACAGAGAGTAAAACAAGCTGGAACATACGTACCTGGTACCAGAGCAGGCTGCCAACAGCCATTTCTAAATGGTGGAAACTAATGATTCAGCTCCCAGATATGGCCTAAATATCTTGACTCCTTCCAGCTTTACCAGTGACTCACTCTGTAACTTCAGGTGTCCAGTGTCCCCTCTGCTATTTTGGGGTGATCATTCACTGCGATATATCCCAAGGTCTAATTGTTTCTAACCTAGTGTATTAAAGTAGTACTTCAGGTTTTGTAGACCTAAGCTTCCACAGACACAAATGACAAAGAATATGAACCCAGCCTCTGACTTATAACTGTACAGGGAAGGCAAAAAAAAAGACAATAAGAAGAAAAACCTGCCTGTCTGCAGCTGACAGGTAATTCTGAATGACATGACTGATCATGCATTATTCCACGAGCCATCACAGTTTCTATTTTAGAAATGCCTCACATGCCTCTGCAGGCTTACTGGCAACCACTTAAAATGTATTTTTAAATTAAGGTTTGAAACTTACCTTTGTTAGGTAGTTGTTTACCTGCCATTGAACTTCTCCTAGTCTTTTTCTGACTTAATAACCCCAAATGTCAGCTTTCCTCTGGAAGCTCAGTTGTCACTGAGATTTAACAGTTCTCTAAGTACAGGCTGAGATGCAGACCTGGACAAGGTGTTTGGCCTTTGAGAGTCAAAAAAACACAAACCCTGCTTTGTGCTAAGTAGCATCCTCTCAGACACTTAAAATAAGGGAGTTCACTAAGCAGAATGTCCTACATAGGGAAACACAGGTAAACGGAAATTACAGATCCCACTCCCATTGCACTGAGCCCAGAATGTTGAAATAAAACCAGAATCTTTCAAATTATTCTCAAAACACACAGATCACATAAAAAAGCCTTTTTGATGAGCTAAACAGAACCTACAAGCACCAAGGCAACCAGGTGGGGAAATCTGCTTACTGTTGAGGCATCTTCACATCACCCAATGTAACTGAAGCAATTATTTTGGATATTTTAAACTTCTTCCTTTCACGTATCTCAACTACAGGAGACCACACTGCTACAGACACCTTCATGCCAGTATGTCCTCAGAGCTACTACAGTGTGATAGGTGCATCCAGCATAGTAAGGACTCACTACATCTTATTACTAAGCATAAAATGTTGACAACTGGATTACTCCTTGGTACTACTACTCAAAGCTCAGGTTCTTCCAAAATCCTGTGTGCATGTTCTGAAAAAGCCAAGCAGTTGAGGCTACGCTCTGGTCATGTGCAGGAGGATGAGCCCTGCTCAGCTGTTTCTTCTATCTGACATTCCACTATTCACTTTAAGCATCAAAAGAAGAACGTTTGGGGCAAATAAGGTCACCAGTATGTTTTACTGTCATTTGGCTGTTTGTACTGGTGGATTTTTTAATACCAGTTTAACTTCCTCTCAGTGAAAAAGTCTTTCCTCTTGGAGAAAGTTATTTATGCCAAAGGACAACAACAGAACTAGCACTTCCTGCAGTTTGCATTTTGTAACTAGATAGAGGCCTACTATGATTCCACACTCTGAAGCCTTGTAAAGTATCTTGGGCTCATGGTCTATTATGTCATCATGGCAAAAAAAAAAAAAAACAAAAATCAAACCAAGCATGTCCGTTGCAGATGCTCCTTGCAGACAACACCCACTTACAACACTGGGAGTTCACCAATCAAAGGCAAGGGTTTGTTTTTTGGAAAGTAGTCATACTTTCTGTGGATGAGAGAGTCCCAGAAAATATGTCACATTAAGCAATCACATCATTCAGACTGAATTAAAGACAGCTTGTAAACATTTATAAGAGATTTCATCTAAGAAGTGTGAGTTTTGATAAGCTAAGAAATTTAGCTTAAAAACCTGTGACTGAGGAGATCAGGAATATGAATATGGAAAAGGCCTGGAAGTTCTTCAAGTCCAAGGTGTTAAAGCTGCCAGGATGTTATATTTCAAGCACGGGAAAGAAGCTGTCAAGTCCTGCTCTTCTTCCTAGCAAGCATTTCCAAAAAGATTTTAGAAATAGTTTGAGAACCTCCAAGGAATGAAAAGAGGTCAAAAGGAAGAGCTAGCAAAGAAAAATAGGCAAGAAATAATAAAAAAAAAATAATAAAAAAAGCAATCCAAGTTAGACCACACAAAGAGTATTATAAGCTGTGCCAGAAGGTTTTTCAGTCATATGAATAAGAATAGAACAGGGAGGAAAGCAGCAGCACCACCCTACAATGAAGACAGGATAGAAATGTAAGACAGTTTTCTATTTAAAATGAAATTAATGCTCAGACTCAGTTTTCAATGAAGAGGAGATGGCTGGGCATGGACAGGTTAGTGGGTGTGGGAAGACGGAAACAAAACTCAAATAACTTAATGCATTTAAATCAGAGCAAGCTGGTAATCTCCATCCCAAACTGCAGCACAACAAGCACAGAAATTCACAGAGGAACCTGTGAAGATGTCTTGTGAAACTCATGCCAGACAAATTTACATTTTGACAGGAGAATAACAAGTTAGTAACTGTATTTATGAGCTAATGAAAAAAATTATCCCACCAGTTTCATCTCAACAGTATGCAAAACTGTAGAACAAATTTTAAAGGTGAAGATAAAGTTGAATTTTCCACCCCTTTCTAGCATGTAGTTGCTAAAGATGTATAATTCCTGACTTAAGTTCAGAGTTAAAGATCCACTTCTTCCTGCAGGAAAAGAAGCAAGTTTCAAGAGAAAGGTGTTTGCAGCTGGGTAAAATAGCATGCATTCACAGAAAATTTTCATAAGAACTGCAGATAAGCTTTTATAGTGAATAAGAAAAAAGTTTTATAGAGAATAATTTCTAGCATGTAGTTGCTAAAGATGTATAACTCCTGACTTAAGTTCATAGTTAAAGATCCACTTCTTCCTGCAGGAAAAGAAGCAAGTTTCAAGACAAAGGGTACCCTGTTTGCAGCTGGGTAAAATAGCATGCATTCACAGAAAATTTTCATAAGAACTGCAGATAAGCTTTTATAGTGAATAAGAAAGAAAAGTTTTATAAAGAGAATAAAAAATTGGCTAGTGCAAGAAAACATCAAAATGCCAGAAAGGTCCTAACAGACTTATTAATAGATTTATCTTAGAGCTCAGTTCAGCATACATTCTTATTAATGCCCCTCCTGCAGAAATCTGAAGTCTCCCAAAGGCATTTGTAGATGACATAAAACTGGGAAGCTCATCTACGTACAAGGGGATTTTAACAGCACACAGGCAGAGCTGCACAAATCTTGCAACACGGTGTCAGAAATGAAATTGGATTCAGTAACGAGCAGGACACTCAGGGAACTCATCAGGTAGAAACAGCCATGGGAGGAAAAGCTTGGGTCTGTTAGTTGATCCAAAAGGAACTATGAGCCATCAATATTAACTGGCTGTGAAATAAGCAGAGTCCAGGATATATTATACCTGACAAAACCAACTGGTTGATTGATCTCACATTCTGGGAGTAGCGGGGTAGACATGGGGAATCAGAGAAACTGAAGAGTGGTGTCAGTTTAAGCACAACAGGAAGAAATTAGCCATGAATGCACTTGAGCCAGAAGCCAGATATTCATTTCCAAGAAGAGAGCAGTCAGTATGGGTATGACACTCAAAAAACTGAATGATTTAAGAGAGACAGTGAGGTATTTTGTGAACACCACATATTCTACAGTCTAGCAGAGAGCTGAACTCAATCACTAAGAGCATGTGACTGAAAGGGACCTTCTATTTCATTTTAAAGAAATACAGACAGAGCTCACAGGAGAAGGTATCTGTTACGAGATCAGCTAGCACAGCTGGGAAACAAACACCACATTTAGAGGAACACAGACCTATCAGCCTTTTCTTATTGTTAGCTATGTTGGCAATCTGTAAAATATCCTATGTCAGAGTGACAAGACAATGAAGATAACTCAATCAATCCTTTAATTGTCTTAATGGGTTAAAAGAATCCAATAGGATCAAAGTAACCCTGCCATTTAACAACCCCACATAAGGGCATAGATCTGCTGCCTAATTACACCCAACCCAGGCCAGAGGACTGGCTCTGACTGCAGGGTCTGAATTACCATCTCTCTGCAGGGACTACTACCTTCCTTAGTGGAAGATGGTGCTGGAGAGAAGGCCAGGCCCTCACTGAGGGACTCATCCATCCACAAACCTCCTCTCAAATCTCGGACACAAGTTTCTTTGTACTGCACCTGAGAATTTGAGAGGACCACCCCATATCCCTAAAGGTCAGGAGATTCTCCACCGACGACTGTGGAAAACTGCAAGTAAGTTATGCCACCCACCAAGACACGCAAAGTAAAAATGGAAAGCTGGGGGTTTGGAAATCTCCTTTACTTCTGCATGCTCTGATTGAGTCTTCTTGGTTAGTTTCCATAAATACCAAAGAAGGTGGCTTCCAGCTACCACAGAAAACAAAATTAAAATAGAATTCATCTAGAGACATATAATACTGCAACTACTGAAATCCTGATAATTTCAATAGGCATTTGCATAGGCAGATTTTGCACTGGAAGAGCTCTTCTGACCTTGAATTAGACAGAACTGTCCCAGAA